TGACCACCCGAGAGGGCTCGACCTCCTTTTTTTGCCTACGTTTAGTTCTATTTTGGTTGCCTGGTTCATTGCCAGTTTAAGCTCTAATATTGGTCTCCAATAAATCTAAATAAGATCAAGAGATGGTAAATTATGATAATTAAATAAATTATAAGATTTCAATTATAATTAACGCTTTTAAAATAAATCAAAGGCGTAGATAAATAATCACCAAAATCCAATATTTCTAATAGTATTATAAACAAAAACCCTAGTTCCACCAAGTGCTATATTTACCAAAATAACACATAACAAAGCTAAAACACATGTACTAAGTTTAGAAAATCCCTACTTTGAGCTCTAGAAGAGGAAGAGGAGAAAGTCCTCAATCTCAAAGTTGACGAAAGTGCGATCTAATCGGTGAAAATACAACTCTCGTCACCCTCTTCAATTTTGCCTCAATGATGTGTATCAAAATCTTGGTGAATCTAGAATAATCTTAGAGAGAAGTTGGGTTTGGAGTGGGTTTGCAAAGAGAGATGAGAGAAAAGTGATGTAGAGATAGATGAGAAAAAGTGAGGAGAGATGAAAGGAACTCAAGTTTTTAAGTGATTGGCACGATTTTCAATTTTAAATTCGAACAAACTGCTCGAGCGATGGATCTTGCACTCAAGCAAAGAATTCAAACTCCTAATATCTCTCGCCTTGGCAGAATAGATTGCTCGAGTAATGGATCTTCCACTCGAGTGAAGAATTCAAGCTCCTAGTATCTTAGACTTCAGAACACAAAACTGGTTAGATGCAAAGACTACTTAAGCGACGAAAGTTGCACTCAAGCAAACTCAGGTTTTAACTCAGGCCAAAATCAATCCTAGGGTGTTCCCACCCTTCCCCAGTTCACTCTTACACCCCAAAACTCAAATTTCATCTCGGCAATACAATTTAGAACATGAATAAGTTCGGAATGTGATCCTCAAATTTCCAAAAACAATTATGGTTATAATATGGAATAGTAAATCTGAATTAACATTACTAAATTGGTTTTAGAAGACCCCAGGTCATCACAGCATTATAAGACAAAACTAAATTTATACTATTTGTATTCAAAATTAAAACATATTTACATTAAAGTGTTTTTTTGGATTGGTATTATTTTTTATGCCCACCTTCCTTTGTTTACTGTGAATATTTTTCAAACCTTTCAACGAGTAAACAATGCATAATCTCTCACTTTTAGTGAATATTATTTTGTATCACTACTCTCATATCTCCAAAAATTAAAAACAAAAATCAATATGTTTATGATTTTTGAAAACGCTATGGTTGGTTTGTTTGTTAGGAAAAAAAATTCAGATAGTTTTTGAAAAAAAAAAGTAATTTGATAAAAATAAATATCAAAAAAATATTTTAAAAGTTATTTTTATCCTCTCAAAAGATAAATTTACATAGGAACTAGTATAAAAAAAAAAAACTAGTTAAAAAAAAAAAAAAAAAAAAGAGGTTGTGCAAGGCACGAGTCAAATATTAAAATGAAGGGTAAATTACAATGACACCCCCTTAGGTTTATATTTATTACAGTTTTTCCCCTCACCTTTTGAAAATTACATCTCCCTCCCCGAGGTTTAAAGTTTCATTATAGATTCCCCTCAGCAATTTAATTTTTTTAAATACCAATTTGTCCCTCACTGGGTAAATTACATTGACACCCCTCACATTTTAGAAATTACAATCCCCTCCCTAAGGTTTATTGACCCTTTGGTTAGTATTAGTTGGGAAAAAAAAATTCATTGAAAAAAAAAATTCATTGGAAAAAAAATATTTGAAAAAAAAATTAATTGAAAAATTTTTTTGTTAGTAAAATTTTTAAATTTCTGTTTAAAAATCAATATAAACTCATTTTTTGAATTTACGTTTCCTCAAATTTACAAACTGAGACAACCATTTATAAATCAAAAAAATTATCAAACAAGTTTTTATGACAGTTTTTTAAATTTTTGTAAATATAAATTGAAAACTGAAAACAAAATGGTTACCAAACAGGTTTCAGATGGTAAAAATGTCATAAAATTAACAAATAATTAAATAAGTTACAAACGTAAGAAATGACTTATCAAAAGATTCTTAGACTATGTATGGTTTGATTTTTAGAAAAAAATTTACAAATGAAAAATTAATTTGGTTAAGAAATAAAATATAAAAAATAATTATCATTTTTATATAATTTTTATCTTTCAAGTGGTTAGAAATAATTTTTTACAAATTAAATTGAAACAGCCATACGTATGTATATACCTTGCCCAAAGTTAAAATGATAATTATTTTTTATCCTTAAATGATAATTATTTTTTATTTTTTATTTCTTAACCAAATTAATTTTTTATTTTTTAAAAAAATTTCTAAAAATCAAACCATACATAACCTAAGAATTTTTTAATAAGTCATTTCTTATGTTGGTAACTTATTTAATTATTTGTTAATTTTACGACATTTTTACCATCTGAGACATGTTTGGTAACCATTTCGTTTTCAGTTTTCAATTTATATTTACAAAAATTTTAAAAACTGTCATAAAAATTGTTTGATAATTTTTTTTGGTTTATAAACGATTGTCTCAATTTGTAAATTTGAGGAAAAGACGTAAATTCAAAAAATGAGTTTACGTTGGTTTTTAAACAGAAATTTAAAAATTTTACTAACAATTTTTTTTCAATTAATTTTTTTTTCAATTATATTTTTTTCAAATAATTTTTTTTCCAACTAATTTTTTTTTTTCAATGGATTTTTTTTTTCCAACTAATACTAACTGAGGGGGTAATTGGTAATGCTACTTTAAACCTTAGGGAGGGGATTGTAATTTCTAAAATGTGAAGGGTGTCAATGTAATTTACCCAGTGAAGGAAAACTTGGCATTTAAAAAAATTAAATTGCTGAGGGAGGAAATCTGTAATGAAACTTTAAACCTCAGGGTGGGAGATGTAATTTCCAAAAGGTGAGGGAGGAAACTGTAATATATATAAATCTTAGGGGGTGTCAGTGTGATTTACCCTAAATGAAAAGATTATATGAAAAAGTGTAAATTAATTAAATTATTTAAGTTGATCACTTGTCTATTCTCTTTTATGGGAAGTATAGACGACTAACTTTTTATAAATTTTAGGCACAAAAATTTAAATAAAACTTATTTATAATTTGTACATCTTAATATTTTAATTTAAAACTTATTTTCTACTTTTTATGCAACATCAGTAATTAAATTCTTTTTTCATGCAGTTTCTTTAATATATTATTTTCAAGTGATTTTGGTTTTTTGACTAAGGTTAAGTTTGGGAAGACTAAAAAAGTGGACTTTTTGTCTTTTTGGACTAAAAAATTGAGGTTGAAAATATGGATGTTTGGGTTAACTTTTTGACTTTTTATTGAAAAATGTGTAATAAAAAATTGTAAAAATTGATTTGTAGGAAAAATTTTGAATTGGGAGTTGTGCAGCTGTAATTGTTGACTTTTGGTGAATAGTGTTAACTTTTTAACTTTTTGAGCAACTTTTTGGCTTTTTAACTTTTTTAGAAGTACCCAAACTTGGCCTAAATATTAACCCTTGTTTCTTTGACTTTATTTATTTATTCGGGTAGTTGATCTTATGTATAATTTTATCAATTTTATTTTTTAAATATTTCTTTATATAAATGCTACAAGTATTACCAATAATATTCTATAAATAATATACATTACAAGTATTACCAATAATATTCTATAAATAATATACATATTTAGAAATTAATGTAGTTTTTTTAACATAATTTAATAAATTAATTGGAGTGATTTTTTTGTTTCTAAAATTTCTTTTAGAACTTTTATTTATGAAAAAAAAATCTAAGTAAACAATAGGTAAAAAGTAACATAATTTAGAACACATTCAAAATTAAAATATATAGTATTTTTTGAATTATTATCGTTTATTGTTTTAATTATTTAGAGTTAAATAAGATACTAAAAATACTTGTACATATTTTCATACCTAATTATGCTACCAAATTTTATCGTATTAATATTTACAAAATATGTCAAATTTATAACATCATTAAATATACATATTATCTTTTTATTTATACAAGATTTAATACATTTTGCATATTTACAACCACATGTAATTAGTTAGTAGTGCCACAGTGTTATGTGACATAATTTACATGATATTCTAAATTAATCATTTAACGATTTTTTTTACGAGATAGGACATGTTAAATTCATTTCTATTATGTAGTTAGAAAATAATAAATGACACATGTAATATGTTGTAATTTTTTATTAATCAAGTCAACTATATATATGGCATCATATGAGATGTAATACTTTTTCTACAACTTTTAATGTAATGGATTTTATATAAATTTTATTAATATTTAATACAAGAAAAATAAATAGAACATTATTTATATTAATTAAATAGATAAATATACATTAGATTAGATAGATAGTGAGGAGCCTTTGTTTTGTTGGGCAAATTACCAACACCCTCTCGAGATTTGACTAAAATACGAATTCTCCTCGGAGGTTTGGGAAATCACAGATTGCCCCATGAGGTTTATATTTACATAACAAATGAGGGGGCAATTTGTTATGCAAATATAAACTTCTGGGGGCAATTTGTTATACAAATATAAACCATAGGGGGCGGGATGTAATTTCTCAAACCTCAGGGAGAAATCCGTATTTCAGTCAAACCTTGAGGGAGTGTTGGTAATTTGCCCTTTTTTTTGTTTTGTTTTCTTTTGTTCTGTATGTGAACCGGCCCAACACTAGGCCAATATTGAGCGATTTTCATACATGGCTTGCAATGAGAATAACAAACAGTAAAATAGTGAAAAAATCATGGGCAATTATGGAAGATCAAAATACAAGCCATCAACCCTTAAGCAAACAACTATAACATAAGAGGGAGTTCTCAGGAAAAATTCTATTTCCACACGCCTATTTATCACAGTGCATGTCATTTTCTCAGTGCATACATTTATTAATTTGATTATTAATTATTCTTCTCAATCCACACACTAAATATTTCAATTATACCCTTCACTCATACCATTATACACACACCACCTCAACTCTCCTTCCGTACACTCATTGAAAATTATAGATCCAAACCATCATTCATAAAACTCCCTTATCTTGCCCCTTTATTTACACAATCTGTTACTCTACTCTCTTCACACTCTCTCACCTACTCTCATTCATGGCCTCTCTACAAACTCATCCAAGTTATCTTCAATTTTGTCGCTGTTCTAGCTCTGCCCCCAAAATTCCCTATCTTCCAAACCCCAATTCAATTCCACTTTTCCAGAATCTTTTATTTGCTGGGAAAACTAGGGTATTGAGTTCAAGTTTTGGAGGCAAAGATGGATTGTGCTCTATCTGCTACTTTTGCAAGACAAACTTGAAGGATTAGAATGTTTTGCTTCAAATTCAAGAGGAGACCGAGACCGAGAGGCCTTCTTTCAACATCAATCTCGCTGTCATTCTTGCGGGTTTTGCTTTTGAAGCCTATACAACCCCACTAGTAAATTAATTTCTTAAAATTTTATTTTTTTAGATTTTATCTATTTGTTTGGTTGCTTAGAAAATAGAAGGAAAGGAAAAGAAAAGACAAGTAAGAAACAATAGAACAAGTGAGAAACAATAGATCAATTACCCTTTTTTTTACTAAAAAAATGTGCACTAAGATTTTTTGTTTTTGTTTTACAAAGATATGTATAGAGAAAATTGAAATATAATATTAAAGATGTATTTTGATATCTATTATAGTCATTTTATTTTAGAGTATAATCGTCATTAAAATAAAAATTTTATTAAATTTGTGCACTGAAATAAGTAGTTGTGTAGAAATAAAATTTCCCAGGTGTAGGATTGCTCTTTGTTTTTTGGTTCCCATTTTGCCCTCCTGTTTTCTTCTTATGTTTCGGACATTGTGTAATTTTGATGCCCTAGGCCTTGTTGTCATATTGCCACGTGAAGTAGAGCTACCCCCAATCAATATTGTTCACCTGAGACAGAGCATGTTTCTCATCATTTTACTTTTACACTCCCTATGTCGAACTCTCTCTCTCTTTCTTTCTGCCTCCCATCTCTCTCTTCTCTCAGGCCATGTTTGTTTCAATCTATATTTCGCTCCGCTGAGATGATCGATGGATGTCTTGTTTCCTTGATTGATTTAGTTATTGTTATAGTTTTCTTAGAATATCCCAAAGAGTAGGAATTTGTAACTCCTTATTTATGAGCTGATTTTTTCATCTTAAGTTCCTAAGACTTGAATATTTTGATAACAGAACCTCATCCCTGTCATTTGTTAAACTCCAGCACACATGGAGTAGTTGGAGGTTGGAGATTGGGTCTCCAAGTCAAGAAGGAAGAGGGAAGTTGGTAGCTAGGTAGCCCAATTACTCTTTCACTTGACTTTGTTTTCTCTATTTTTATAGAGGCTGAGAGAAAGAGAAAGAACAACACATCAGAAAAGAGAAAGAAAACACAGAGTATATGTATTTGTGAGGTGAGAGTACTATAGAGAGAGAGTAAGGTGTGAGTGTTGTACAACTCCCTCCGGGAAAAAATTCTATAGTGGATATCTCTCCTATGGACGTAGGCTATTGCCGAACTACGTAAATCTCTTGTGTTTTTGTGTGTGATTGATTTCTGGTGTGCCTTGATCTAACAAGTGGTATCAAAGCCGCATTAGTCGATTTTCGGAAAAACAGAGTGTGTTTTTCAAAATTGCTCAGAAATCAAGTTGCTCGAAATCAAATTTTGAGCACACCAAGAAGTGCGTCTCTTTGAGACGATTCCGGCAATATAAAATTCATCAAAATTAGAGCTAAAACGAGTGCCGTAGAGCTTGCCGAAGATTCGCCAGAATTTCGCCGAAAATTTCAGTTCCGTGAAGGAATTTGAAGAAGAAGGCTAATATCATTATGATGTCATCATTGCATCAGCAAAGTTTTTGAAATTTTAATTTAGCCCCTGAGTTGGGGTAAATTGCATTTCAGTCCCTGAAGTTTCTAAAAATTATAATTTGGCCCCTAAAGTTGTGGTAAATTGCGTTTCAGCCCTACCAGTTTCTAAAATTGCAATTTGGCCCATTGAATTTAGAGAAATTTCATTGAGGTCCTTGAAAAAGGTGGAAAAGTGCTTCCTTGGCTAATTTGACCATTCCGGATTCAACGGTGTGGTCCGTTTGTCCAAATTTAGATTTTTTGTACAAGAAAGTAGATGATGGACATCAACTTCAAGATCTATGATCAAGTTGAACCCTTTCAATTATGCAATCTGGAAGTCGCGAATGGAAGACATCTTATATTATAAAGACTGGTTTGACCCTATTGCTCTAAAAGGGATTAAACCGGAAGAAGTGAAGGATGAAGATTGGATAAAGATGAACCGGAAGACTGTCAGTTGTATTAGACAATGGATAGACCATAGTGTGTTCCACCATGTCGCCCAAGAGACAAATGCATATGTCCTCTGGACAATATTAGAAGGAATGTACCAGTCAAAGACTGCTCGAAACAAAGCCTTGGTGATGAGAAGGCTTGTAAATCTGAAGTTAAAGAATGGCGTATCTATCGCCGAGCACACCAGTGCATTCAAGAATCTAGTGAATCAACTTGCAACTGTCAAGATGCCCTTGGATGATGAAATGCAAGCCATACTACTGCTCGGTTCTTTACTGGATATCTAGGAGACGTTGGTGGTTTCTCTCAGCAACTCTACACCAGAGAGGAAGCTGACCATAAGCATGGTCACAGACGCCATATACAATGAAGAAACAAGGAGGAAAGACATGGGAGGTAATCAGTCGCATGCTCTTGTCACAGAAGATAGAGGTAGAGACAGAGGTAGAGGAAGAGGCAAAGGAAGAAACAAGAGTAAAGGTAGATGGAACAACATGAATAAATCTAGAGACAGTAAAAGCTAGGGTAACTTTAGCTTCACTTGCTTTCATTGTGGTCAAGAGTGTAATGCCCCAACCCTTCACATGCCATCGATATTGTCCACTTTGGGCCACGCTCGCACAGATTTGTTCTTCCTAGTGGGTCACCCATCCCAGAACTACTCCAGCCTAAGCACGCTTAACTGGGGAGTTCTCTTAGGGATTTCACCACCTAGGAAAAGGCCTCGATGCTATATAAGGGTCTAGGGTTTTACTTTTATAGCCCAGGAACTCCCCCTCCATTCCCAATGTGGGACACCGGGACCTTACAATCCACTTCCCTTAGGGCTGCACGTTCTCGTGTAGTAGCTCGCCAGCTCACAAGCCTGCCCACATGCATCGAGAGACCCTAGGGGCCCATACTTGGTACTCCGAAGAGTCGACTCTGATACCATTTGTAACGCCCCAACCCTTCACATGCCATCGATATTGTCCTCTTTGGGCCACGCCTGTACGGATTTGTTCTTTCCAGTAGGTCACCCATCCCAAAACTACTCCAGCCTAAGCACGCTTAACTGGGGAGTTCTCTTAGGGATTTCACCACCTAGGAAAAGGCCTCGATGTTATATAAGGGTCTAGGTTTTTACTTTTATAGCCCAAAAACTCCCCCTCAATTCCCAATATGGGACACCGGGACTTTATAATAATGTGAGACACCGGGACCTTACAATCCACCCCCCTTAGGGCTGTACGTTCTCGTGCAGTAGCTTGCCAGCTCACAAGCCTGCCCACATGCATTGAGAGACACCAGGGGCCCACACTCGGTACTCCGGAAAGTCGGCTCTTATACCATTTGTAACGCCCCAACCCTTCACATGCCATCGATATTGTCCTCTTTGGGCCATGCCCGCACGGATTTGTTCTTCCTAGTGGGTCACCCATCCCAGAACTACTCCAGCCTAAGCACGCTTAACTGGGACGTTCTCTTAGGGATTTCACTACCTAGGAAAAGGCCTTGATGGTATATAAGAGTCTAGGTTTTTACTTTTATAGCCCAGGAACTCCCCCTCCATTCCCAATGTGGGACACCAGGACTTTACAATCCACCCCCCTTAGGGCTGCACGTCCTCGTGCAGTAGCTTGCCAGCTCACAATCCTGCCCACATGCATCGTGAGACGCTAGGGGCCCACCCTCGGTACTCCAGAGAGTCGGCTCTGATACCATTTGTAATGCCCTAACCCTTCACATGCCATTGATATTGTCTGCTTTGGGCCACGCCTGCACAGATTTGTTCTTCCCAGTGGGTCACCCATCCCTGAACTACTCCAGCCTAAGCACGCTTAACTGGGGAGTTCTCTTAGGGATTTCACCACCTAGGAAAAGGCCTCGATGCTATATAAGGGTTTAGGTTTTTACGTTTATAACCCAGGAACTCTCTCAATTCCCAATGTGGGACACCGGGACCTTAAAATCCACCCTAGGGAGAAGTGAGAAGCCTATTTTCAAGATTTATTATCATGGTATTCTAGAAACCCAAAAAAACCTAGTACCCCTAGACCTAGGATGTTGTTTCTAATGCTAGTTTCATTTCAACTAGGAATCAACTAGATGTTGCCTAATCCTATGATTAAGCTCCCTAATCACTCATATCCTATTAGAACTTCCCAGTTAAGCGTGCTTAGGCTGGAGTAGTTCTAGGATGGGTGACCCACTAGGAAGAACAAATCCGTGCGGGCGTGGCCCAAAGCGGATAATATCGATGACGTGTAAAGGGTCGGGATGTTACAAATGGTATCAGAGCCAACTCTTCGGAGTACCGAGTATGGGCCCCTAGCGTCTATCGATGCATGTAGGCACGCTTGTGAGCTGGCAAGCTATTGCACGAGGACGTGCAGCTTTAAGGGAGGTGGATTGTAAGGTCCTGGTGTCCCACATTAGGAATGGAGGGGGAGTTCTTGGGCTATAAAAGTAAAAACCTAGACCCTTATATAGCATCGAGACCTTTTCCTAGGTGATGAAATCCCTAAGAGAACTCCCCAGTTAAGCGTGCTTAGGCTGGAGTAGTTTTTGGATGAGTGACCCACTGGGAAGAACAAATCCGTGCGGGCGTGGCCCAAAGCGGACAATATCGATGGCATGTGAAGGGTTGGGGCGTTACAAGGAGGGTCACATAATGAGGAACTACCCAAGCTAGAAAGATAAATGCCAAAGTAGTAAGTCAAAAGGAGATGAGAACACGATAGCCACACAATTAATGACATACTTCTTACAGTTGGTGAAGAGGGGGATTGCCGTCACGTGGCTGACCACAGCTGTACAGAGTGGATGATAGACACAGTTACATCCTATCACGCCACTTCCCACAGAGAACTCTTTAGCTCGTACAACGCTAGAGATCTTGGCACTATTCGAATGATAAATTCTAGCTATTCGAAGATTGTGGGTATTGGAGACATTAGTATTTAGACTAATGTCAGACACAAGTTGGTTCTCAAAGATGTGAGGCATGTTCCAGATTTTCACCTCAATCTTATCTCCGAATGCACCCTGGATTGACAGGGCTATACAAGTATATTCGAAAATGGTCGTTGGGAGCTGACAGGGAGAGCTTTGACAATCGCCAGAGGAAAGATGTCTTCAACACTTTACAAGACTCAAACGAAGATCTGTCTGGGAAGTCTTAATGCAGCAGAAGACAATGAGTCACCAGACTTATGGCACAGAAGACTGGCTCACATGAGTGAGAAGGGATTGCATTTGTTGGCAAAGCAATCCAAGATACCCTTATCCAAAAGGAGTGCCCTGAAGCCGTGTGATCATTGCCTTTATGGAAAGTAGCATCGAGTATCATTCAGTTCAACGAGTAAGAGGAAAACAGAAGTGCTCAGTGTAGTATATTCGGATGTTTATGGTCCAATCAAAATGGAGTCACTTGGCGGCCGCAAGTATTTTTTGATCTTCACTGATAATGCATCAAGAAAGTTGTAGGTGTATTTTGCTGAAGACGAATGATGAGGTATTCTAGCATTTTCAGGAGTTCCATGCAATGGTGGAAAGAGAGATTGAGAAGAAGTTGAAGTGTCTTCGCACAGACAATGGTGGCGAATACACTTCTAATGCTTTTGAAGCATATTGTGCTTGCAGAGGTATTCGACATGAGACAACAGTTCCCGGCACCCCACAACACAATGGTGTGGTAGAAAGGATGAATCACACTATTGTTAAAAGAGTCAGACGCAGAATGGAAAAGTTGCCAAAGTCATTATGGGCGGAAGCCACCTGTACAGTCTGTTATCTCATCAATAGGTCGCCTTCAGTCCCATTGAATTTTGCGATACCTGAGGAAGTCTGGTCCAAAAGAAAGGTATCATATTCTCACTTTAGAGTTTTTGGGTGTAAGGCATTCGCACACATCTCCAAGGAAAACAGACAGAAGTTTGATGACAAGTCCACTCCATGTATATTTGTGGGCTATTCAGATGCAACATTTGGGTACAAGTTGTGGAACCCAGTGAACAAGAAAATGTTCAGGAGCAGAGATGTTGTGTTCCAAGAAGACCAGACAATAGCAGATTTTAAGAAGTTTGCAAAGTCTACAGATGCCATCACTCTAGACTTGCTCCTATCTCCCGAGCCATCACAAAATGCTAGATATGATGATGTGCAACAAGAAGTGCCAGAGTTGCAGGATCTTATTCCAGAAATTGAGGATCAGAAGGAAAGAGATGAAGGCCCGGATCGAGAGGGTGTTGAGCAAGGGGAGCAACCCCTTCAACCAGAGGCAACTGGGCCTCAGTTGTAGAGATCTAGAAGAGCTTCCATGCCATCAACCAAATATCCTACTTCTCAGTATATTCTAATTACTGATGAGGGACAACCTGAGAGTTTTTCGGAAGCAAAAAGTCATACAGAAAAAGATTGTTGGATGTAAGCCATGAAGAAGGAGATAAGTTCTTTGCAGAAGAACCACACTTATGAGCTTGTTTCACTTCCAAAGGGTAGGAAGGCATTGAAAAACAAATAGGTGTATAAATTGAAGAAAGATGGCAACGGTAAAATATTGCAGCATAAAGCTCGCTTGGTGGTCAAAGGTTTTGGGCAGAAGAAGGGAATTGATTTTGATGAGATCATCTTTCCAGCTGTAAAGATGACTTCCATTCGAGTAGCTCTGGGATTAGCAGCTCGCTTGAATCTGGAGGTAGAACAAATGGATGTCGAGATTGCCTTTCTCCATGGTGATTTGGAGGAAGAGATCTATATGAAGCAACCAGAAGGATTTGAAGTTAAAGGGAAACAGAATCTAGTCTGCAAACTGAAGAAGAATCTCTATGGCTTGAAGCAGGCGCCAAGACAATCGTATAAGAAGTTTGATTCATTCATGGTAGATCACGAGTACACGAACGGTAGCAGACCAGTGTGTATATTTTCGAAGGTTTTTGGATAGAAACTTCATCATCATACTGTTGTATGTCGATGATATGCTAATCATCAGACATGATACTACTATGATCAACAAGTTGAAAAAGGACTTGTTGTAGTATTTTGACATGAAAAATTTGGGCCCAACACAGCAGGTTTTAGGTATGAAGATTGTTCGTGACAGGAAAGCCAAGAAGATATGGCTGTCACAGGAGAAATATGCTGAATGGGTGATTGAAAGGTTCAACATGAAAGATGCCAAGCCAGTCAACACACCACCGGCCAACCATTTCAAGATGACAAAGCGTTCGTGTCCCACGACCAGCTCTGAAAGGAAATAAATGAAGGCAATACCCTATTCCTCTGCAGTGGGGAGATTGATGTATGCAATGGTGTGTACCCGGCCAGATATAGCTCACGTAGTTGGCGTTGTGAGCAGATTCCTCACCAATCCTGGAAAGGAGCATTAGGAGGTAGTCAAATGGATTCTTCGGTACTTGAAGGGAACTTCAAAGATGTGTCTATGTTTTGGAGGAGCTGAACCAATTTTGGAGGGTTTTACAGATGCCGATATGGTGGGTGATCTTGATGGTAGAAAGTCTACATTAGGATTTTTATTCACCTTTGTAGGGGGAACTATTTCATGGTAGTCCAAACTACAAAAGTGTGTTGCTTTATTTACGATAGAGGCATAGTACATTGCTGCCGCAGATGCTAGAAAGGAAATGTTGTGGTTAAAGCGGTTTATCCAAGAATTGGGTCTACAGCAGGAAGAGTACAAGGTACATTGTGATAGTCAGAGTGCAATTGATCTAAGTAAGAATTCCATGTACCATTCCCGCACAAAACACATTGATGTTCAGTATCATTGGGTACGAGAAGTGATGGAAAAACAGCTGATGAAGCTAGTGAAGATTCACATGGACAAGAATCCTTCTGATATGATAACCAAGGTTGTCAGCAGAGAAAAACTGGAAGTTTGCAAGAATCTGACCAGGATGGACTTCAAGTAAAAAGTCAGTTATCCATATGGGCGTGGAGGGGGAGAATTGTTAAACTCCAGCCCACATGGAGTAGATGGAGGTTGGAGGTTGGAGGTTGGGTCTCCAAGTCAAGAAGGAAAAGAGAAGTTGGTAGTTGGCAGCTAGGCAGCCCAATTACTCTTTCACTTGACTTTGTTCCCTCTCTTTTATGTATAAATAGAGGCTGAGAGGAAGAGAAAGAACAACACATCAGAAAAGAGAAAGAAAACACAGAGTGTATGTATTTGTGAGGTGAGAGTGCTATAGAGAGAGAGGTGTGAGTGTTGTACAACTCCTCGGGAAAAAATTCTATAGTGAATATCTCTCCCGTGGACGTAGGCTATTGCCGAACCATGTAAATCTCTTGTGTTTTTGTGTGCGATTGATTTCTAGTATGCCTTGGTCCTAACATCATTCTCAATGGATCTCACATTTTTCAGAAGTATTTAATGTTTTTTGCTCACTTTTAAATTTCAATTGGCGTAATCAACTGCATAAGTTAATCCTTTGCATACACTTAAATCGTATATCACCATTCGATTGCACTAAATGGCCACCATATGTTTGCTCAAGGTCTTGCATAACAATTTCTATTCATTCACTTTTTTTTAGTGGATTTATTAGTCTTGTTGGTTTAGACTGCCAGTATCCTCTGTATATTCCATTTATTTTACTTATGTTCTTAGTAAGAATTGTTCTTCATTAGTTTTTCTTTATTTTTTTTGAACAATTTAGTTTAGGTATTGAAGTTTATTACTGCTGTTTTTAATTGGCTGTATATATGAAGAGTATATTTGTCTAGATTGTGTTTTCCGATATTTGGTTTACTATTTGTACGGCGATTGTTTCAATTTGAAACCCTTAAATTTTGTTATCTGCTGTGTATTAGAATGGGAAAAACAAAGGAAACAGTGTTTACAAGAGAAGAGGTAGAGGAAGAGGACAAGAAAGTCCTAGAATTCGTCACTGCCAGAGACAGATTTCTTTGCATTACGGTAATTTTTTTTTTACACTCAAAGGTTTAGTTTGTAAATTTAACATGTACCCTGTCTTTGGAGATATATATATATATACATATAGTATAGGTATAATATTTTCGTTGTTTTTTTACTTTCCATGGCTGGAATTCATTGTTTTTTTACTAATTTAATTTTTTTAATGTAAAAAAACGTAATTTTAACATTGATCTTTCTCATCATTAAAGTCAATTTGAGTAATAAATTCCTTGATGCTGTGTTTGGTTAGGGAATTTGGAAAGGGAAAGGAAAAAGGTGTGTGAAACTGGGTGAAATATAGGTATATTTTATTCACATTTCACCTAACGTTTCCATTTTCCTTTCCAAATTCCTCCTCAAATCCCCCAACCAAACACAGCATCGTACAAATCATTGAGATTATTGGAATTATTGTAATAAAGAATTAACTGTGATCAAAATGTTAAGGTCTCTCTTTGCTAGAAGTAGAACTAAAATTGTGGTGGAAGATGATGACCTTTCGTACAACAATTAAAACAGTGTCCTTCATTTATTTCCATGTTATTTAAATTTGAAAAATAAGGATAAAAAATGTAATTAGAAGGGACAAGGGGAAATTTGGAAAATGATATGCTTGGAGACATTATGGAAACTGAATGTTTCCAACCACTATTGTGGCTGACATAACACTTTCATCATAAAATATTGTTGTCTTTAATGGAGTCAATAAAAGAAAAGTTTTTAAAAAATGGATGGAAGACTTGAGATGAAATGAAATTGGTTTGGGTTTATTTGGGAAATAAAATTGGTAGAAGTGATATGATGTAGAGTGATTGTTACTACTGTTGGATGTTCTTTCTATTTGGTGGCAATTTTCATGGAAAGTCCATCCGATTGTTGTATCTTATTGGGAGATCCGTTAATGGTGCTCGATGACTATTGAGCGATTTGTTCCGCTGGCTTTATAAGGCTATGATGATATTGTCGGCTACAAGTTGACCAATTTATCTAAGCTTGCTTAAAATAATTTTTACTCCATTTGGTTTTCTACTTTTAAAGTCATAAACCTCTTCAAGTCTCAAAGTTTAGCATTGTTTGTAAAAGAATGTCTGCGAAGAAAAAATTGTTATTGCTCAGCAAGGGTGCAAGCAAGTTTGATTCTAATAATAAATTTGTCTATAACATTGTGTGCCAGGAAATTTGTGAAGAATAGCAGATGGGGACAGGAGTTGACTTGAATTTTTTTGTATTGAAATTTTGTAAGTTTTTATATAAATGCACACAGCTATGCATGTTGGAAAAAGCCTTGTTCTAATTAAATTTATATAAAAATTGAAGTTGCCACCTTATATTCAATTCACATTGATACACAATCGAATCACCTTTGTAAATCCACTTGACTGGAACTCTCACAATATTATTGTTCACATTCTGCATTTAATATTAATATCCTTTTTTTTTTCTTTTTCTTTTTTTTCCCTCTCTCTCTCTCTCTCTTTCTCTCTTCATATTCTGGTTTTAGTAAGAATTAAGACTTCTTCCCTTTCATTTAATTACATTATTTTCAATGGAGTAGTAACCGCTGATTTGCTTATATGATGTTGATTATGTTTTTTGGTTTTGTTGGTAGTCACAGATTGAAGAGAAACATATGGCAGTTTTTTGGTTGTGTGGGTTGAAAATGAGGTATGCTATTTTATAGAGGTAAGGAAAAAAAGGTCATTTTGGTGACTTTTATGTTGTGTCACATGGACTTGCTGTTTTAAGGCAGAGTACCCGTGTCAACATAACACGACACGGGTGCGGGTGTGAGATATGTGTCAGATTCGACATGATTTTCTCGGACACAGCTGATATGAGAGGAGAAAGAAGAAGGGTTGTTGAGAGAGAGAGAGAGGGGGGGGCTGAAACTCACCTTTGCGAAGCAAGTCGAGTCGCGAAGCAAGATTGAAGTGCGAACCCTAGTCGCGAATTAGACCGAATTGAAGGAGATCTGAAAACTAACATCTCAAAGTCGATTCCACCTTAGGGCTTCGATTCCCCTTTGGTCTCTCTCTCTCTCTCCTATATCTTCTCTTCTCTCTCTCTCTCTCTCTCTCTCTCTCTCTTCTTCTTCTTCTTCTTCTTCTTTGAATTTGACTTCTTTCCCTCTCTGTTCTATTTCTCTGCATTCTATTTATAAATGATATTAATATAATAATATATAATAGTATTCATATTATATAATATTCACTCAAAAAAATATTGTATAATTTAATACATTATAAATTTTATAATTTTTATGTCTAAAATAAAAATAATTTATTTTATCATATATAATATAATTTATTTTATAATTTTTATTTATTTATATTTTATTTGTTATTTTTTTAACAAAATTTGTTATTCTTTAACTTTTTTTAACTCATCTTTATATAATAAATATATTTTAAAAAATAATTATTTAACGTATCCTCGTATCCGTATCCAAATTTGAATCCATATTCACGTATTCCCAATTTTTAATTTTGAAGTGTCCGACCCTTAGATACACATCCACACCCGACACCCGACACCCGCACCCAAGTCCGTATAACATAGCTTTTATGTTGTGTTCTAAAGGAAGATGTCAAAGCCTTGTAAATCTAGAAATTTCAGTGAAAGATTCTCAAATTTTAGTGCACTGGGAAATCTCCTAGATGTTGGTTTTTGTTTTAAATTTGTCTTCCGGCGTAAATTGTTTTTTTGAACTCCATATTTTGTGTTGAAATTTTCAGATTACAATGATCTTTCTTTTCCGTTTTTTTTTTTAAAATTTTATTTTATATCTACAAAGATTATTTTTAGGAAGTACTGTTACAATTGAAGACCAAGACAATTTTTTTTTTGCTGTAATGTGTATGAGTTCTACATGCGGCTCCAAAACAAAAAGAAAGTCATAAAATGGGATATGGTCTCTTGTGCAAACTAGGAGTGATGACGGACCTACCCAACCTGACTGAACCGATCTAACCTGATTGATTTTGGATGGATACGTGTCTTTTGAAGAACGAATACAGATGGAATATTTCAAAATTAACAGATATGGTTTGGATAGTGGATCAACCATTATGTACCCACATGAACCCAATCCGCCCGTAGATGAAGTTAAAAGAAAAAAAAAAGTGCTAACAAGTAACAACAGAGAGTAGAAATAATAAAATATATATTTTTGTGAAAATATAAACAATACCTTAAATATGCATGTATGGTGCCATGGCCAATTATAAACAAATAATACATTTTTTCAGATTTCTAATTATTGAAGATTGTAAAAGTTATGAATTATAATTTTAAAAAATATCCAAAATTTGTATAGTCCAAACCGCCAAACTAATTGCATTCATCCGCCAACTCGCACAACTTGCTCAATCCACATCCGCCAAACTAGTGGACGAATGCAAATTGACTTTTTTCAATCCACCTAATTTTATACAGATGGCGCATGGGATGTCACCCGATCCAACCCGATCCGCAATCACCTCTAGTGCAAACAAAAGAGAAAAAATTCCAATTGAGCTTTTAATGAAGCTTACTTTATTGACTTTGATTTTAGTATCGTGTATTGTGCCACAAATGCAAAATCTGAACGTGTGTTCTTTGGTTCATGGGTTCTTTGATTTCTTTAAACCAAAACCTCACATTAGCTAGGAAAGCAAGATTGTATCAGAGGTTCTAACTTCAACTACTGGATTTAATTTGTACTCTAGTTTGTCTGATTTAGATATTTGTATTTTATATTTGTGTTAGGGATGTCTATTTGTACCTAACAGAAGGCTAACCCCTCATTCTCATTTATAAGCATATCCTTTCTAAATGTGATCATGATGATTTTTGCAAATGGTGTTTATTTAACACATTTTATATTTTGCTCCATTTGAGGTTTTAATCCAAAATCAATCCTTGTTAAAGTAGTCAACATGAACCATATTAGTATTGTGCTTTACATCAATGAAATTTCTTTGTTTGGCCGATCAAAAAAAAAAAAAAAAAAAAACATAAACCATATTATTGATTCTTCTGCTTGAGTTCAACTATCAGCCTAAACATATTAGTTATTATTGATTAAGTTTATGATGTGTTGTGTTTGTTTTGGATCTGACAATTTACTGAACAGGTCGAGGAACATACTGTTCCAGTACAGGAATGAGGAATGGTTTGATGTTTGAAAATCCTAAGTGATTCGTGATTAGATCAAGATTAAAATATTCCAAATCCCAATTATTCAAAACACGCAATCTAAATCATCAAGCACTTACGAAAGTGATTTAGATTGTTGTTTTTCTGAATAAACATTAAATCGACACAAACAATTTTTACGTGAAAAAAATCACAATTGAAGAACCTTCAATTGTAATAAAAAAACCACGGGCGAAACGCCACTAATCAATCCACTACTGAAGAAAGAAAGATTTCAAAAATAATACACAAATTATCCAACTCAATCAATTTGTCTTCGAATCTTCTGTAACTCTTTCACCAGGCCTTCATCTCGGAACTGATCCACCTGAAGTTGAATCCATAACTTCACTTGTCGAATTAACGACTATGTACAGAATCAAACGCCTTTTGAAACTCTACGTTTGAATCTTCGGAATCCACCGAAGAATAACACTCTTGTATGTATTTGATCAACCTCCTTGATGTATGCTTCTCAATTCATGAGTTTAATACTCAATCAATTTTATCAAGGAAAAACTCACAAAAACTCTCCAGAAGAAAACCTTAGAAAACCTCAAAGTAGATCTAAAAGAGTAATCCTAGTTTTTGGAGAAAACCAACTACTTATAGAAATTCGGATTTTGAAGCTCGCTTGAGCGAGAACCTGAACTCGCGTGATTTCCATAAGTGCCTTCGCTCGAGCCACGAAACCTTCGCTCGAGCGAGAAATGAACTCTTTCAGGTTTTATGCAGATGCAGTTCTTCGCTCGAGCCACCAATGCTTTGCTCGAGCGCACAATCACCTCTTTCAGGTTTTAAGCCAGACCCAGTCCTTCGCTCGAGCGAGGAAAACAAAACAGTAAGGAAAATTACAACTCAATCACACAAGTTTGTTCACGGGTTTGACAAAACTTAGGGACCTAACAATGGTGATGGAACTTTCTATGCTGAAACTTTTGTTGGTATTATTCTTGTGGATTTAATCACATTCCCTTTATAAATTATTTTTTTTTTAATATCAAAACTTTTATTTTATTTTCTTGAGGAGCTGATTTGATAATTGATCTTTAGTGTACCATGTAGTTCTTAAAAGTAATTGTAGTGTATTATTTTGAGAAAAACCCAAATTAGATGGAGAAATCAGATTGATGATATAGATTATGTCATCATTCATTGCGTTACACCATATCATTTTACTTGAGATTTGCTTGACTCAATATTTACAAATTCCCTATCATTTGATAATTGATCTTTAGTGTACCATGTAGTTCTTAAAAGTAGTTGTAGTATATTATTTTGAGAAAAAACCCAAATCAGATGGAGAAATCAGATTGATGATATAGATTATGTCATCATTGCGTTACACCATATCATTTTACTTGAGATTTGCTTGACTCATTATTTATAAATTCCCTACTCGAGCATGTATCATAAGCACATGTATCCAAACAAATACACTGACAGTTGGGGCTGCTACGGCTGTTGGTCATTGTAGTATTTTGGTTGTCAGTTTTTTTCTTGTTTGTTTTGCTCTGCTGGTTGGTTGCTCTCCAATTTGAAGCTTGGAGTGTGTGCTAGCAAATGATTTGGTGTGCATCTTGGTGTCAACCTGGTTGGGATCTTGATGTATCTTTGTGATGCTTTTTGCACCCTCCTCTTTATTGATGTTTTGTATCATATTTTGTATGTTTTTTGTTAGGTCCCTTGATTGTCAAATCCAGATACAAAACCTTGCGTTGTTAAAGTTGTTTATTTTCAGTATTTTTGTTCTTCCCGCTCGAGCGGGGACATTGACGCTTGAGCGGAGTTTGTGGTCTCCCAGTATTTGTGACAGGTCTGTAAAAGTACTGGAGTGCGTAATTTTGCGCTCGAGCGGGTGATAAAGCGCTCGAGCGGACCACTGTGTTACCACACGCGTATTTTGTTGAAGCCGCTCAAGCGGGATGTTGGGCGCTCGAGCGGAGATCGCGGATTCAGGATTCCTATTTATATCTTTTTAGGTTGTTTTTAGGATTACTTTTTTCTAAATCTTATTCAAGAGTCCTAGGGTTTTGTTGGTGGTGTTCTTCTGTAATTTTGGTGAGTTTTCCTTGATGTCTTGAGAAGAGTTCTTCACTCATGATCTAAAATACATACATCAAGGAGTTGGTTTCTTTAAATTCAAGAGAGAGTTCTCTTCGGTGGATTCCGAAGATTCTAGCGTATAGTTTCAAAAGGTGTTTGATTCTATATGTGAGTGAGGTTGTGGAATCAACTTCAAGATTGATCAGTTCCGAGACGAAGT